ATATCTTCCCCTTCTATTTGCCAGGAGGTGATGGGACCAGTGGTCATGATCTTCGTTTTTTTGATGTTCAGCTTCAGACCATTTTTTGTGCTCTCCTCTTTCACCCTCATTACGAGGTTCTTTAATTCCTCCTCACTTTCTGCCATCAGAGTGGTATCATCTGCATATCGGAGGTTATTGATATTCCTTCCGGCAATCTTAATTCCGGTTTGGGATTCATCCAGTCCAGCCTTTCGTATGATGTATTCTGCATATAAGTTAAATAAGTCTTGTCGTACTCCTTTCCCAATTTTGAACCAATCAGTTGTTCCATACTCAATTCTAACTCTTGCTTCCTATACCACATATAGATTTGCCAGGAGATAGATAAGGTGGTCAGGCACTCCCATTTCTTTAAGGACTTGCCATAGTTTGCTGTCAAAGTCACACAGTCAAAGGCTTTTGCATAGTCAATGAAGCAGAAGTAGATGTTTGCCCCTCTGGTGATGTCCATGTGTAGGGTTGCCACTTGTGTTGTTGGAAAAGAGTGTTTGTGATGACCAGCTTGTTCTCTTGACCAACCTCGATTAGCCTTTGCCCTGCTTCATTTTGAACTCCAAGGCCAAACTGGCCTGTTGTTCCTTTTATCTCTTGACTCCCTACTTTAGCATTCCAGTCCCCTATAATGACAAGAACATCTTTCTTTGATGTCAGTTCTAGAAGGTGTTGTAAGTCTTCATAGAATTGATCAGTTTCAGCCTCTTGAGCATTGGTGGTTGGTGCATAAACTTGGATCACTGCGATGTTGAAAGGTGTGCCTTGGATTCGTATTGAAATCATTGTATCATTTTTGAGATTATATTCCATTACAACTTTTCCCATTCTTTTCTTGACTATGAGGGCTACTCTATGTCTTCTATGGGATTCTTGCCCACCATAGTAGATATGATAATCGTCTGAATTGAATCTGCCCATTCCCGTCCATTTTAGTTCACTAATGCCCAGGATGTCAACGTTTATTCTTGCCATCTCCTGTTTGACCATACCCGACTTACCAAGGTTCATAGATCTTACATTGCAGGTTCCTATGCAGTATTTTTCTTTGCAGCATGGGCCTTTCCTTTCACTTCGAGGTGTCCCTGCACGGCATAGCCCATAGCTTCTCTGAATTACTCAAGCGCCTTCACCACGACAAGGCAGCAATCCATGAAGGAGGACCTCTACCTAAACCCTTCATTTAATTTTTTTAAAAATGACCTCTACCTAACCCCGTCATTTAAAAGAAATATATGGGTAATCTATTTTATCAATTTTTACTGTTTTAGTTATCTTGACATATTTTAATTGCTTCCATTTATTTTAAATATTACATGTATGTATTTTAATGTGTCCAGAGACCGCAAAATAAAGGTTGATTGAATTTTGTTTGTTTAAAATATTTTTACTCTGCCTTTCTCCTTATCATTGCAAGAGAATATTCTGAAATTTAACCACCATTTGAAATTCATCCAGGCTCATCGTATCATTGCTGTTTTATTACTGTATATTAGGGACATTTAAAAATGATTTATCTGTCTACTTTGAGGCCAAGGATGACTGTGGTGTGATCCTTTTGTAGAATTATATATTAACATGTTGTTGTTTAGTTGTTTAGTCGTGTCCGACTCTTCGTGACCCCATGGACCAGAGCACGCCAGGCCCTCCTGTCTTCCACTGCCTCCCGGAGTTGGGTTAAATTCATGTGGGTCACTTCGATGACACTGTCCAACCAATATATTAACATAGTATTTCTAAACTGTTTGTAGTAACATAAAATCCAATATGAGTGGGAACATTTTTTGAAAGTGATGCTAATTGATTAGACTGTAGAATAATAAATAGAAGTTTGGTGGTCTTGGTTTATTAATTAAGTCTTTCTCCAATACGTATTCAATATACATAGCTCCATGTTCAACACTTTGAGTTCTGAGAAGACAGCTATGGCATTGGAAGTTACAAGAAAAACATACCTTCAAGCTCTTTTTACCTTTGTCATCAAAGCTACCAACATGAATTTTGACCCAACTCCGGGAGGCAGTGGAAGACAGGAGGGCCTGGCGTGCTCTGGTCCATGGGGTCACGAAGAGTCGGACACGACTAAACAGCAACAACAAATGGCAGTGCTGTGTCCCATTTATTTGCTCTATTCATTTATTTACTTATTGGTTGGTGCAGATGTCACTGTTTTATGCTATATGGATCAAAATTACAGAATACAGATGCTCAGGCGAAATTTAAATGCCAATTAATCTGGCATTTCCCTAATTTTAGCAATAACATTTGCTGATTGCAACCAGCAAATGTCAATATTCTTTATATTTAGAGGAAAAATAGATGAATCGTTTGACATTAACCCGGAGCTGTTGTTTCTGCTATGGAAAGACTTTCCCTTTTAGGTAATGTTCTATACCACAGGATCAACGTTCTCTCAAATTTTCTGCTCCACTGCCTTGTCCCATGTGCACGTGGGGTTTCACTCGAAACCAGAACTAAATGGGTGTCAACAGTGCACGCACACAGCTTTGAGGGAATGTTGCACAGAATGCTAAATGGTGTTAATTTGGGACTTCTTATTACTTCAAACAGGCCTGCCAGCTGAAGACTGAAACCATTACTTATGAAGAGAAGGAGCAACAACTTGTTAATGATTGTGTGAAGGAGCTCAGTATGTTTCTTTTCTTTGTTTTTAAAGCAAGTAATGTGCTAGTTCAGGGACATGGTGGCGCTGTGGGCTAAACCGCAGAAGCCTGTGCTGCAGGGTCAGAAGACCAAGCAGTCGTAAGATCGAATCCACGCGACGGAGTGAGCTCCTGTCGCTTGTCCCAGCTCCCGCCAACCTAGCGGTTTGAAAGCATGCAAATGCAAGTAGATAAATAGGGACCACCTTGGTGGGAAGGTAACAGCGTTCCGTGTCTAAGTCGCACTGGCCATGAGACCACGGAAGATTGTCTTCGGACAAAACGCTGGCTCTATGGCTTGGAAACGGGGATGAGCACCGCCCCCTAGAGTCGGACACGACTGGACAAAAATTGTCAAGGGGAACCTTTACCTTTACCTAATGTGCTAATTAGAACAACAAGTTGAAACAATGACTAACTGTAAGAATCAACCATACCCAATAGTCCTGTTGGTTATATCAGAGTATTAGTATACATTTTATACTACATCATAATTTTATACTTAAAATATACTGGTGAAAATCCTGTTGCTTTGTTGCACACACTAAAGGCAAATGGCCTTCTTACAACAATTAATAATGAGTCCTTGCAGGGATTCTCAAGTGCATGCCAAGCCAAAAAGTCCATACACCCCCATGAATCCTGGCAACAATTAACACTACAATCTAGTAGTAAATTGCAAGTAGAGTAGGCGCAGTGAATCAGTGGAACCTACATAGATGTGGACTCACCAAGGCCCCACTGATTCAGTGGGCCTGCTCTAGTTGCAACTTACTACTGGACTTCAGCCATTAATTGGCAGCTAGAAGTGGCTGAATGTTATGTCATTTGCATAACAGAACAGCAGAATTTAAGCCATTTTATATTTTAGCAAAGCATTTCTCACACTGCAGTAAACAGATTGACAGATTGCACTTTAGCAACAACTGACCTACAGAAGAGTTGTGTGATGGAGAAATTCTATTCATGTGTATAAAAACTGGACACTAAGTCTGTACAAAGAGATCTGTATTTCCCATATCTTTTGAGTTAAGTAAATTGTGTAAGTCTGTTTCTCTGAGTGGAAGTTTCTAGGTGCTGTAAATATTTTCTCCTCATTACCCCCTCACCATTTCTATTCTAACTGCTGTCCAAAACAGCTTGATTAGTGACTTTTTGCCATAAACATTCATTATCATAATCATAAAAAAGGGTTAATATTAAGAGTGACACTCTGTTATGAACACAGACTGATCAGTTGATCAGCAGTTGATTCCAGGATTTAGTTTTTGTTTGTTTGTTTGTTTGTGGGGGTTTTTTGCTTTGTGACAGAATGGTTACTCCATTTTAATGTAGATGTTTTGTTTTGTATGTTGTGCCAATAAGGTGCTACCATGCTAGTACAGTGGTGCCTCGCTTAACGAGCGCACCGTTTAACGACAAATCCGCATAGCGATCTGTTTTTTCAGATCGCTAATGCGATCGCATTGCGATGTTTTCAATGGCAAAACATCGCATTGCGATGATCGGTAAGCGTTTCGCTTACCGATCTTTGCATTGCGATGTTTTTTAAACAGCTGATCGGCGGTTCCAAAATGGCCGCCGGACGCCCAAAATGGCCAGCACAACCATTTTCGCACCCTGCCCTCGTTTACTGAGGGCACGAAAATGGCGGCGCTATGGAGGAACTTCGCTGAACGGTGAGTTTGGGGCTTCGTTTAATGCGTTCCTATGGGGTTTTTTGATCCGTTTAGCTATGTTTTTGCATAGCAATGATTAATCCGGAACGGATTAACGTTGCTATGCGGGGCACCACTGTATATATCACTCTCTGGTATGTCAGAACTTGAATTGAGAACTGTCAACAGACTTACTCATGGGTTAACAATTCTCTTTTCTCAGTTCTTCCAAGCAGATATTAAGAAAGTGAACATGACAACCAAATATGTTTTTGTCATCTTCTAATTTCTGCGTTTTAATTTTCACAGGACTGGTTTGAAGCAATAGAAGTTACTACAGTTTTAATCTGCTGAAACTTTAGTTCCATATAGTCTCATTTTTAAAAAAAGACTTTATTCTGAATCCTAATCACTGGCCGGAATTCTGTTGCAAATATATGCTTGCATAAGTCTTGATGGCTGCATTCCTGGGTGCATGCCTAATTGCATAATTTGACACATGCCCATGAATGCAAACAGGATCTCATTAATGAGCAGCAATTTGCCTCCAAGACCTGATTTCCCTTACAAATGCATAAGTTGATAATAGCATTCTGCTATGTTTGTTTTAATGCTCTGCTCTTCTTCTGTATCCAGGCCTGCCTCTGCCCAACCAAGTGGGCTGACAGAAGAGGGAATTCTCTCCTTCATGACTAGCATGAGAATATCTTAGGCCAGTGGTTCTTAACCTTTGTTACTCGGATGTTTTTGAACTGCAACTCCCAGAAACCCCAGCCAGTACAGTTGGTGGTGAAGGCTTCTGGGAGTTGCAGTCCAAAACTCCTGAGTAACCCAAGGTTAAGAACCAGTGTCTTAGGCCACTGCAGGATAGGGTGATCTTTTTACCACTGCTCTGCTAGCCCTTCAACAGATTAGAGAATATTTTTCAGGCTAGTAATTTTTGTGCACTCTTCTTACACAGCTGAGTTTACAGCAAATTTTAATTTGCTAATATTTTGGGGCCCTGGCTTATTCCATGAAATATGAAGCAAGAGGAATACATTCTGAATGCTACTGGTTGCACTGATCTTCTTTTTTAAAAAAATTACCTCGTTGCTGATGGTTTAGCCAATAATTGGTACTCCAAAGGTATTTTATATTACCTCATTCTTTCTCTTTGCACTTTTAATATACATATTGTTTGATTGATTTACTATTTAAGGAGATGCAAATGTCCAGATTGCCAGTCTCTCTGAAGAGTTAGCTAAGAAAACTGAAGATGCAGCCCGACAACAGGAAGAAATCACCCATCTCCTCTCTCAGATAGTGGATTTGCAGAAAAAGGCAAAAGCTGTAAGATTCAAGTAATATGGGGTGGGATGTGGGGAGGAATAGCTACAACATAACATGGTCTTATTTCCCTTTTGACAAGCCCTGTTAATTTCAATATATGTTGAATATCTGTAAAGGAAGGTACATCATGGAATTGTTGGCTTTTTGTTATGTTTTTCATTTTTATCTTTTTTTAAAAGTGTACAGTGGAAAATGAAGAACTTGTCCAACATCTGGGAGCAGCTAAAGATGCCCAAAGACAGCTCACAGCAGAAGTGAGTGTAGCTGTTTTAAATAAACTTGAATATAAAGCTATAAACACATTAAATACTCTAAATGACCTTAAACACACCTAACTCTATTTAATGTCAGTCTATTAATTTGTCTGACAGTTCAGTGCTACTTAGGGTTCTGTGCTAACTATTGGTGTTTCATTGCATGCACAAGCTGCTCTAGAAAATCTCCAAAACAAGTCTTAAGCAATTCGCCATTGTTTTTTACTACATTCTATAAATTAGTGGTCCCCAACCTTTTTAACTCCCCATTGGGGAGGGCTGGGCTTCCCCGCTCACGCTTATGCATGAAGGACCAAGAGGCACTCGTGCACGCACATGCACACTCACACACATGCACGAAGGGGCGGGGCACTCACACAGGTGCTTGCACGTGTGCAAAGGGGCTATGCAGAGGGGGAGTGCATGTGGGGTGGGTGGGAGATCTGTCTCCGTGGCCCGGTCAAGCTCAGGCCGCAGACTGGTACCGGGCCGCAGACCAGGGGTTGTGGATCCCTGCTATAAATGCAAATTTTCTGGTCTTTGTTACTCCATTAAAAAGCAGAATTATAGTCCTTATTACTAAAGAAATAATTATAATGATAGGCTTACTGAAACTCCAAAAGCCGAAAAATAGCTGAATAGCCTCCATGATAAAGCAGAAACTTTAAGGAGCACAGAAGAGCTGTCACTTCTTTCCTTTGCCCTCCTGGTAGGAGAGGCAAATAAATTTTGCAAGATAAAGACAACTACATGTAATTAGTTGGAGATATTAGAGGAACATTTCGCGCAAAGATGGACATGATAAAGGACAAAAATGGGAGGGACCTAACAGAAGCAGAAGACATCAAGAAGAGGTGGCAAGAATACACAGAGGAATTATATCAGAAAGATGTGGATATCCCGGACAACCCAGACAATGCAGCTGCTGACCTTGAGCCAGACATCCTGGAGAGTGAAGTCAAGTGGGCCTTAGAAAGCCTGGCTAACAACAAGGCCAGTGGAGGTGATGGCATTCCAGTTGAACTATTTAAAATCTTGAAAGATGATGCTGTTAAGGTGCTACATTCAATATGCCAGCAAGTTTGGAAAACTCAACAGTGGCCAGAGGATTGGAAAAGATCAGTCTACATCCCAATCCCAAAGAAAGGCAGTGCCAAAGAATGCTCCAACTACCGCACAATTGCACTCATTTCACACGCTAGCAAGGTTATGCTCAAAATCCTCCAAGGTAGGCTTCAGCAGTACGTGGACCGAGAACTCCCAGAAGTACAAGCTGGATTCCGAAGAGGTAGAGGCACTCGAGACCAAATTGCTAACTTGCGCTGGATTATGGAGAAAGCCAGAGAGTTCCAGAAAAATATCTACTTCTGCTTCATCGACTATGCAAAAGCCTTTGACTGTGTGGA